GGACCACGGAGCTCCCCTAATTAATTCCTACATTTTTGACACAAGGAAACTGGGGCCAGTGATAGGACATGGCCTCTTCCAGGCCCAAGAGCCAGTCAGTGTAGAGCTGAGACCAGGGCTAGGTTCCTGACTCCTCGCTCAGTGCTCTTCTCTCAGGTTGCTGGCCACTCTCAGGTGCGTGGACAGCCCAGTATCAGTGGGGTGGAGGGCAAGGCTCTGGCAGAGGGAGGCAGGGCCAGCACCCTGCGAGGTCCTTTCCATTCCCTCACAGTGCCTCAGTGAGCAGGCTCTGGGCCCGGGGTTCTTGTCCCAGCTCCGTCCTCCAGCTCCTGTGGCTAGCACAGGAAAGGCCCACGATGACTAAGTGCTTAACACAGTCTTTCCTTTTATTAGTGCAGGAGAGAACTCAAAGACTGCAACACAGTATTTCCATACCCTTGATGTCTGGCAACAGGGACAAAATAATTTGCTTTGGCTCTCAGGGAGGAAGTGGGGCTCTACCCTTGGGTCCAACCCTCCTTCTCAAAAGGGTTCCTTTTGTGAGCCCTGCGGGCAAGGACCTCCTCCTCATCCATGGGGCAGCCGCACATTGCTACAGTCACCCAAAGGCGGGGGCTCAGATTGGGATGCTATGCATACTACTCCATAATTCAAAATCTATCCCGTTTGGAGAAGACATATCTTCTCAGACTTGATGTATGTTTGTTAGTTGGTGGGTTTGCTTTTGGTTTTTGGTAGGAAGAGGTTCTAAGTTTCCTCTAAGTTTCTTGCTTTTGGGCGAGCATACAGAAGTTTTTGAGGCATTGGGACTTGAGAAAGAGAAGACGGAAGAGAAGACTGATTCAAGAGAGAAAGATTTAGCCCCATGCCATCAGTTCTGGGCCCGTTTCCGAAAGAAAAGGTGGCAAGAGACTCCCTGTTACAGGGCAAGGCCAGTGGGTCTCAGGAACAGTGAGGCTGCAGGAGGAAAGTGGTCCCTGGAATTTTCTTAGGGGCCCTCCAGTCTCACCTGGCTGGTACCCACTACCGCCTGGAGTGGGCCTGTGTTAGCAGCATCTCAGAGAGTGATGGAGAGGCCACACCACACACTGGGGCTCCAGCAAGGGCTGAGAGGGGTGGAATGGCCGTCGAGAGCAGAGGAGAGCATGACCACCAGAACAGCAGGCAGCACGGAGAAACCTCGGGAGGGGCTGGGTTTTGAGCAGTGAGGCAGGATGGGATGGGATTATGTCATTTCCACGTTAAAGTGTGTCCCCAGACGGCACAGACCTTGAGGACACCTGTATCACATCAATTCTCAAACGCTATTTTGATGATCATGTTTCCTGTTGCCTCAGCTGCCAGGAGGCTCAGGACACATTTTAGTGACTCATTTTTAACATGAGTTAAAATAAGTCTAAAGAGTTTCTGCAATGATCATCTACTCTGTTCTGCTGCTTCATTATGGATCTTTCTCCCCTAATTTTAATGATCCTTCCATTTCTGGGGTTTTTATGGTATCCCACTTCAAATCCTTTTGAGAGTAGAGAAGTGGAATAAATAATAACAAATAAGATACATGGCTATTGAGTGATTAAGGTCCCTAGTTTAGGATCTAGTTGTGAGGCAACAGAACCCAAGCACCAGCATCTCTGTCATCAATTGCTGAGCCAGGCAGTCTTCCTGGAAGAGGTGACTGTACTGTGATCCCCCTCCTGGGCGCCAGGGGTTACCTTCTGTATGGCGATAGCTGCTTGGTCCTGACTGAACTTGTGCCGCCCGTCCTCCCGAATCCTCCGATCCCGCTCCTCCTCTTTCCGAATCTCTCGCATGAAGTTGGCTCGGAGCCGGCCTTGCCTGGCCCGCTCGGCCCTTTGCAGTAAGATTACGGCCTCAGTCCGGTGCATTTCTGGAAAGCTCTGGCCAGAGCAGGGGCAAAGGAGCAGGAGGAGATGAGAGAAGACTTGCATCCAGGTAGGCAGCTGGGAGACCAACCACTAAAAGACGTGCTGGGGCCTGGTCCTCCCGGGGCATCTGGGTGCCGAGCTCTGTCCCTCTGCCTTGATGTTAGAAGGCTACAAGGAGCACAAGAGCAGCTTTGAAGGGGGCCGGGGATAACCCCCAGAGCACTCTGACGTGAGTGTAGGGCAGGGCAGTGCCTCTTTGCATCCTGGGGGTGGCAACTCTGTTCCAGGAGCCAGGGTATGGGAGGGGTCTGGGAGGGTACCTCTCGGACTTACCTCCTCGGAGGACAGTCTCTCCATTCTGGACAGGATCTCTGCCAGCATCAGCCCTCGCTCCTTCAGAATACTGGACTGCTCCAGCAGGAAGTACTTAGGGATTGGGACCTCCAGCTCTGCCTTCAGGGCAATACGGGGAAAGGAGGGTCAGGAATCAAAAGCTGGGCCACGGGGCTGATCCATTACCATTGTCAGCTGCTTACATAGACCCTGGCACTGTTTTCCTCCATTCTAGAGCCCTGAGGTGGGAAATTTACAGGTTATCGGCAGATTCCCAAGGGTCATCCCTCTCTTCTCCTGCCCTCACCATGTGCCAGAGTTGAGACCATGGGCAGTGGTCTCAAACCTGGCTGTGCATCAGAATCAACCGGGAAGCTCCTAAAATGCAGACTTCTAGGCCCTCCCCAGATGACCACACCAGAACGGCAGAGCCTGGAGAATCTGTTTTTTTTTTTTCAAGTCCACTGCTGTGTCTGATGCAGACTGGGCTAGAGAACTTTGAGACATGGAGCAGTGAACCATGACCTTGGGGCAGACTGGAAGCCAGAGCAGAAACTCTGTGCTCCAGAACCTGTCAGTGTATACAGATCACCTGAGGGTCTTGTTAAAAGACATGCAGATTAGTGGGTTTGGGGTGTGGCCAGAGATTCTGCATTTCTTTTCTTTTCTTTTTTTCTTTTTTGAGGAAGGTTAGCCCTGAGCTAACTACTGCCAATCCTGCTCTTTTTGGTGAGTAAGACTGGCCCTGAGCTAACATCCATGCCCATCTTCCTCTACTTTATATGTGGGACGCCTACCACAGCATGGCTTTTGCCAAGCGGTGCCATGTCCGCACCGGGATCCGAACCGGCGAACCCCGGGCCGAGGAGAAGAGGAACGTGCGAACCCAACCGCTGCGCCACGGGGCAGGCCCCGAGATTCTGCATTTCTAACAACTCCTAGGTGATGCTGATGCTGCTGGTCCATGGACCACACCTTGAGGAGCAAGCCTCTAGAGGACTCTTCACCAATCTCCCCAGGTTTGTGCATCTTCCCAGCCACGAGTGGCCTCTAACTTGACTCTCCAGTTACCTCTCAACTACTTGCTCACACCTCCGGGTTCCCGAAGCCCTTCTCCCAAGACCAAATCCCCTCCCCTGATCTGCCCTGGCCTCTTTTCCTTGCTGATGTCCCAACGGAGGCGTCCGCCGGAAGTCAAGGCCGACTCCCACCCCCAGCTGGCGTGGGCGTGGCTCCGCTCAGAGGCCTGCGCACCGGCGTGAGCTTGAGGTCCTGCAGCACTTGGTCCAGGCAGTGGCTCTCACACAGGTCGGTGCGCACCAGATCGTCCTTGAGTTCCAGCACGCGCCCTGCCACGCTGTCCAACAGGCGCCGCAGCAGCCGCCTCTTTTGCGGCTGCACCATCTGGTCATAGAGGGTGTCGAACCGGCGCAGCAGCCCCAGGTAATACAGGTATAGCCGTGAGAGCCTGTACTGGAAGGACTGCCGCTCCCGGTCGGGCACGGGTTCGAGCAAGGGCTGCTCTTGGTCCAGCAGCTCTTGTAGGGTCAAGTGAGAGGAGTCCCAGAGGCGTTGGTAAGCCCTGGAGAGGAAGAAGTGTGCACCAGGGTGCTCTGAGGAGTGGGGACAGCCAATGGGGGTGATGGGCGCTGCTGAGCTGTTGAGGAGTGTGAACTCGGGGCTCCAGAAGGTGTAACGTTAAGGTTCCCCATGGTGTCAAAGTGAAATTCGGTGAGGTGAGGGGTCCTCCGGGGGAATGAGATGGTAGTTACAGTGCACACACTGGGGCTTAGAGAATGTGTGAGAGTGGGTCACTGCAGGGAGGGCGTCCGCTAATGGATTAGTAAGGAGAATGAAGAACAGGCATGGCCTTTAGCGGCTCCCTGTAAGGAGGAGGGCTTCTGGAGTGGGCAGTTGATCCCTCCAGGGTGAGGGTGCAGCCCAGGGATGCTGCAGTGGTCTGGGATGGTGGGTGGGAAGTGGGGGTGAGGGATGACTGTAGAGAAAGGTCCATTCACTAGAGCAGAGCCCTGGTGCTGGAATTAACAGTCCTAGGGAAGCCTGAATAGCAAAAGCTGACCACAGGCGGGAGCAGCCGGGGTGGCTGCGTGAATGGCTGGGGCCCAGCACAGAACCTCCTTCTCCCCACCAGTCCTTCTCCCCACCCTTCAGCCCCAGCCTGACAGGACCAGGGAGGCATTTTGCTCTTTGCTGTCCCTGCCTTGGGGGCTCTGCTCCAGCTCCTCACTCACCCCTCAGACATGATGCCCACTCTTCACGCTGCCCTTTGTGAGCTGGTCATGGGATCCCCAGAACCTCTGTGGATCCACCCTCCAAAGCCAGAACAGCATGGCTTTAAGAGTTCTGTCCCATTGTCCCAACGTTCTAAGGCTGAGAGAGGAGGGGGCTGCAGGTGCAGGATTGGGGACACAATCAGAGGACATCCTGGAGGCAGCATGCTGGGAGAGGGTGGAAGCCTTGGAAGGTTAGGGCAGAGTGTGGGGTCAGCTGTGGCTACCTTTCTGGTGAAGATGAAATAAAAGCATGGTCTCTATTTGAAGTCACCCGATAACTGTGAGGCTCTGGTGAACGTGGGTCCTAAAGGCGTTGCTCCAACTGCACTTCTCAGTGGGAAGAGCCCTATATTCCTTAATTCAGACCCAGCCTCCTTTATCCTTGTATACAGCTGTCCTGGAGGCAGCAGTGAGGTGAGGGGAGAAGGGCCTGGAGTTGGGGTCAGAAGGCCTGGGCTCACGCTCTGAGGTCGCTAATTCCCCTTGAAGTAAGCACAAGCAGACCTGAATCCCTGGGCCTGATGGTGATTCACATAGTTTGTGCGAACTATACCGTGTGGGAATGACATGAGAAAGTGTAGCAGTCAGACTCAGTGGTGACTAGGGCTCATTCCGAGCCATCTGTGGGTTTCCCAATCACTGCTACAGGCTCAGGAGACCATTCTTTAAAAAATATAGAACATTATATCCGGACTCTGGTCAGCTGAGGGTAACCTTTATGGCTCAGTGTTAACTCAGGACTTATGAGTAAATAAATATATAAGGCACAGGGCAAAGGAAAAGGGGGAGAAGGGGGCAGCTGCAAAGTGGAGTGAGGGATGAGGAGTTCTCGGATCTTAGTGGGCGCGTGATTTACCTCGTCAAGATGCAGATTCTGATCCCACAATCTGAGGTGGGGCCCAAGACTCTGCATTTCTAACAAGCTCTCAGGCATGTAGATGCGCCTGGTCTCCAAGTCACAACTTGAGTAGCAAGTATGAAACATAGTGGGAGTGGGGAAGAGTCGAGGCTCAGGGGCCAGATCTCCTTCTAGTTGTGGGACCAAAACATGGATAATTAGTTCTCAGCTCATAGTATCTTCACCTTCGGCTTGACGTGTGAGAAAATGCACAGGAGGAATGTGGGACTGCAACTCAGCGTGAGCCGTTATCACAGCCTGTGCAGCACATGAAGTTGAAGGCAACAAGCTGAGGCTATCCAGTTAAGAAGGGACCATAAAGGATTCTGAACTTGGTCACTAAATCTTATCCCCTCACCTCACCCCCTTGGAGCATGGGAGAGAATTTATGGCTCATATGCCCACAAGACAGAGAAAAGGCCTAATGAGAGAGAAAAAGCCAATGAGGCTGAATGTTAAGTGGTGAATTAAGTGAGAGATATGCAAGTGGTCATTGTACTTTCTTGCAATTTTTCTGTGGGTTTTGAGATTTTTCAAAATAAAATTGGGGAAGAAAAGTTAGGAGTGTCAAAAACATTCCCACAAGTTGGTTCTGAAATTAAGGGGAAGAGAATGTCAGGGGAAAACAAAAACATCTCCTGGAGCCCTGCAGGTTATTTAGAAGCTGGTTTGGGCCTTCTGTTTTATATCTTGAAGAATACATCTGTGTAGTCCCTGTGCCCAGCACAGGACAGAAATGATAGTTTGCCAGAAATGGCATCACAAAACCATGAGCTGAAAGAGTAACACACATGAGGAATTTCCAGCACAGAGAGGCAGTGATGGAAACAGCTGGCAACAGGTCCAGGATTCTAACCCAGATCCCAAGTCCTACTTCAGCTCACTACCAATTAGATATCTGTATGTTTACAAAGCGCTATCAATGTCCCTCATGGGGTACACCCAGAAAGTAGTTTTTAAAAAGTATAAACAAGTTATTATTCCACCTTGGTAGCCATAAAAGGTGATGACACCCTTGCCCCACATCGCGCCTTGCCTCCGCATGTCCCTTTTCGAAATCACCACAGTGCATGGGAGCAGTTCACGCTTTATTGTTAGGCCCCGGGTCACTTGGAGCTGGTGTACTTGGTGACAGCCTTGGTGCCTTCAGACACAGCATGCTTGGCCAGCTCCCCAGGCAGCAGCAGACGCACGGCTGTCTGGACTTCCCGGGATGTCAGTGTGGTTCGGCCCGAGTACTGGGCCAACTGGGCAGCCTCGCCGGCCAGCCGCTCAAACACATCATTCACAAATGAGTTCATGATGCTCATGGCCTTGGAAGAGATGCCGATATCGGGGTGCACCTGGAGAAGCAGCAGGACCACTCTGTTACCCAAGAGGCTGTGCCTGATGCCACAAGCCCCAGCCCCAAGTTGGGGACTGCGGGAAGCCAGAGGCAGGATGGCAAGGTCGCCTCACCAGCCTCTTCCCAGAGGCCAAGAGATATGGCAATAGGGATTTGGTTTTTTTCTACTATTTCCAAATTAAAAAAGTTTCTCCCAACCACAAAAGGTCATCTTAATCTTAAGTTCCTTGTATAAGCACATATAAGCATTTACCTTTGACAAACGGAATCACTTACACAGCATTCTGCTTTTTTCATTTAATGCATTTGCATAGTATTCTATAGTATGGATGTATCAGTTTATGTCATCATTCCTCTCCTAATGGACGTTTAGGGCTTTTGCCTGTGTTTTTTGCTATTAGACTGTGTTGTAGTAAATACACATCTTCGAACATTTGTACGAGCATAATGAAGGTTATTCCTAGAGGTGGGACTGTGGGGTCAAAGGGTTTGTGCACTTAACTTGGTAGATTGTTACCAAATTTCTTTCCCGAGAGCACACCTACATGACAAAAACTCAGCAGCAGACTAGGAGTTAGGAGACCCAGTTTCTGTGGCTGTGCCGTGAATCACTGTATGACCTCGAATAAGGCACTTTCCTCTGGGCCTCAGTTTCCTTTTCTGTCCCACAAGCTTTTGAACTAGGTGATCTCTAGTAAAACAAAGATAGGGACCTGATAACAATCCTAAAATGTAAGTAGGCAGACAGTAAGCGTTTCTCTGTAAAGGGCAAGATAAGTGATTGCCCAACGACATACATCAAGCCAATGGTGGAGACAGAACCAGAACTCAGGCTTCTCTGGCCCCACCAACGCTCTCCCCACCATCTCTGGTCGCCACTGACAGCAGCAAATTTGAGCCCGTACAAGGCTGGTTTGGTCTATACCCCTTGTGCTGTCACCACATCCTGGTCTCCTCAGGGTGGGGGTGAAACAGTGAGTTTCGCAGTATGTGGGTAACTTGCTCCTCAGCTCTCCTCTGTGAGTCCAGTCCTGGTCCAACCCTTCCCTCACAATTTTTGAGTCCCAAAGTCAGGCTAAGCTGCAGGGCTCACTAATACCCTCTCCCACCCCACTTTCTTCAGGACACTGGAGTCTGTCCTCTGATGCTGCCCTCTTGGCCAATCCACCCCACCTCACCCAAGCATTCCCAGAGACCCAGGTTGTCAGGTCACTAAAACTGCCGATGGGATTCAGACTGCAGACAGGTTCCACCTCTGAGATCTAATCTAATGGAGGGTAAGAAGCTTAGGCAGGTTGGAGAGACCCAGGGCAGGCGACATAGCTACCCCGCCTCCTCCTGGCCCCGGCTCTGCCGAGCAGGCTGTCTTGGATCCTCCACACTGGGTTTGGGTATCCATTGGTGCTCAGAAATGTTTGTCTGCATGTGAGTCCCCAGAATAGGTGCGTCTCGCAGGTGCTCTGGTAGGCTGCATAAATAGAGAGCACCTGTGGGTTCCGGGGTGGAAGTATGTGAGGGGCTTGCCCAGAGCCAGGGGGATCTGACCTCTGCTGCTGTCAGGTCATGTGACTCAGTCAACCCATTAAGCCTTTATGGACCTTGGGTCCCTCATCTATAAGGTAGACCAACGCCTTAGCCCCCAAAAGACTGGGTGCCCCTCGTCTGAAAGACTTTTCTCAAGACTTTACACAAATTGCTCCTTGCTCTAGCTACCACTAACTAGTACTTCTTGTTTGTAACATAATGTGTTTGATACCTGATCACCTTTAGCCCAGCACTTTTTTTTTTTAAAAGCTTTTATTTTTCCTTTTTCTCCCTAAAGCCCCCCCCCCCCACCCCGTACATAGTTGTGTATTTTTAGTTGTGGGTCCCTCTAGCTGTGGCATGTGGGACACTGCCCCAGCATGGCCTGATGAGCGGTGCCATGTCCACGCCAGGATTCAAACTGGCGAACCCCCGGGCCGCCGAAGCCGAGTGCGTGAATCCAACCACTCAGCCACGGGGCTGGCCCAGCCCAGCACTTTCTTGTAGTCCTCCCTGTCTTTTAATTATGACCCACTTAGCATTCCACATAATCATCTTTCTGTCCAAAAGCCCTGTAAGCCTCTGAACTATGGCAGGGAGCATGCTTTAAATGTCTCCTGCACGTCACAGGTGCGCAACAGATGCTGAGAGGTGTAGGGACCTCCAAGATCAAGGGTGACCACCTTAAAGAGGGACACGGTGTGCCTGAGGTGACTCGCCTCAGTGCCAGGACTAAACCAAGTCCAGACTCTCCATTCAGCACCCTTTCAAGGCTCTTTTGCCAATACATTCCACACACACACAAGCTAGCTCCCCACTCTCACCTGCTTCAGCACCTTGTAGATATACATTGAGTAGGTTTCTTTGCGCCGGCTACGCTTTTTGGACTTCTTGTCCCCAGAACTACAGCCCCTTCGGCCCCCAGACTGATGCTGTTGTCCATGCTCAGTACTCATCCTCCTGCTCCTTGTAACAGCCACTTTCTGCTCCTTGGGGGCTACTTTTATGAAGTCAGCTGCCCACCAGGTGGGCCTGGGAGCCAGCACCTGGGATGGAGGGGTGGGGCTTGGCCCAGCTCTATCCAGAACATGCTCCGGGTTAATCTTGAAAGAGACTAATTGCTCCCTCCTCTCCCCATTGGGATTTTCTGTCTCTGAATAAGAAACCCTTCATCAGCCCCCTCCTTCACTGGATCATCTCCCAGTGTATTACACACTTGTTAGAGTTCACACGCCACCAAACCATGCCATGCAATCACTCAGCACCCACTGTGCTCGGCACGGCTCAAAGTGCTGGGGAGCGTCAGAAGGAACACAAGGCACGCTCCCCCCCATACAGCCCTACAGTACAGCTGAAGACAAGACTGGTTCACATCAAACAATTAGGGTGGAGTAAAAGGGCTAAAGTGTGTGGTAGGGACAGAGTCCAGAAAAGAAAAATGAGCGAGGGCTGCAGTAGCCAGGGGAGGCTTCATGGGATAGACTTGAAGCTGGTCTTGTAGGATGGCTACAATTTAACTGGGGAGAAGGGAGGGAAATTTAATTGGGAAGAAAGGGAGAAAGATAAATGGTGTGAAAAGCAGAGAGGAATCAATGGGTGGAGAGTAGAGTGAGGATGGACTGAAGGCAGAAGATGGAGCAGAGCGCTGAGCCAAGAGTGTAGGCAGCAGGAGAGCACAGCTGGGAGGGTCTGACAGGGAGGGGTTTGGGACGACTGGAGGAAGTCGGGAGAGAAACACTGGATGCTCTCCATAAAAGCAGATGATAGCGGGGTCCTGTGGAAGTTAGCAGCTAAGGGAAGGGAAGAAAAATGTGGCTGTTAAATGGAGCAAGTTAGTCCTGTCCACTTTGCACCTATATGTGAGCGAGTATTTCAGGTTCTTGAACGCTGATTAAAGAAACCTGGAGCAAAATGAAAAGCACAGGCTGGGGGAAAGAGGCGTTTCCCAGTCAGGAAGACCCGGGAAGAGGACTGAAGACAAGCACCACCTGTCAGAGGAGGAAAGAGAGCCTGAGCAATCGCCTCCCTCAACTCACCTCTTCACCCAGTTCTCAACATCAGCCACATCTTAACGTGCTGGGTTTAAGAGAACCCAGAGGGCAATCCTTAACCCAAAATAAGGCACCGCTAATTTTAGGCATTTGTGGAAATACATCTTTTGTGGGCTTTTTAGGCATTCTTAAAATTTTTGAGATTGGCTTTTTTTTGGACAGGCTGACTAGCCTATTACATTTCTCAGGTTCTGAAGCCCTCCCATCCCTTAGCACCTCAGGAACACTACGCTGGAGACCCCACCTGACTTTAACGGGAGTTCTTAACAACATCCCCAGGCCCTCCCTCGGCTGAAGTAGCAGGAGCTCTCCTCTCCATCCCCATTCTCCCCACAACCAAGTCTCTGGATACTCAGGACTGACGTAGGCCATTCTGCTCTGGGACGCACTTCAGGCACAAAGCAGCAAGGCCAGGTCCTTGGGGTTGACGGCAGAGCAGGAGCCGTGCCCCTCAACCAGCCTCGGCGTCTCGGGCTCAGCTGCAGCTTCTCACCTTATGCTCACTCTTACTGTTCCCTCTGCCCAGGGCAGCTCTTGGACTTCACAGCCAGCTGAGAAGATCCTACTCATCTTTCAAGTTAGAGCACCAACCCAGCCCTTCTGGGCAGCTACCCACTGGAGACTTCCTTCCCCTTTGAATCCTTCTGTGTATCCTGCTACCGAAGTCACAATTTACCATCTGATTTATGCCCCTTCTATCTTGTTCTCTAGTCTCGTTGGCTTTCCCATTAGATCGTGAACTCCTTGGAGGCTTAGACACCATCTGGGACTTTTTTGTTTTACATAGTCTTGGATGTACTATAATGAAAGCTGAAAAATCACGGCTGTGTATGTTTTCCCACAGGGATGGCTGCTGAGGTTTCAGAAGTGATGAATCCACATCAGTAAGGATGGCCACTGGTGTGCCTGTGGCACAAAGGCTAGAAGTGCTATTCAAGTTCAGACAGGCTATGCAGAGGCCCCAGTTGGAAGTAAATTACTGCTAATTAAGGCTGTGGACAGGTAAAATAATAAAATTTCCTGTATCCTGCCAGGAACACTGGTTTGCAAACTTGAGTGTGAAAATAGACTCCTGACCATTTCTGCATCTCTCTTATCCCACCAAATGTAATCAATAGGTCTGGAGCCCAGGAATCTGCATTTTTCTTTTTCTTCTTTTTGGTGAGGAAGATTGTCCCTGAACTAACATTTGTGCCAATCTTCCTCTATTTTGTATGTGGGATGCCATCACAGCATGGCTTGATGAGTGGTGTGTAGGTCCATGCCTGGGATCTGAATCCACAGGCCACCAAAGCGGAGCCTGTGAACTTCACCACCACACCACCAGGCTGGCTCCCTGAGGAATCTGCATTTTTAACAAGTTTCCCAAGTGCTGTGGTGCAGGTGGCGGTAGGAGGGCGTTACACCACTCTGAAAAACATGCTCCAGGAGCGTGGTTCTCAAAGTGCAGCCCCAGACCAGAAGCATCAGCATCACCTAGGAACTTCTTAGAAATGTTATCTCTTGGTCTCACCCCAGACCTACTGAACCGGAATCTCTGAGGCAAGACCCAGCAATCTGATCTAACAAGTCCTCCAGGTGATTCTGATACCCATTAAAGTTTGGGAACCACTGGCCTAAGGAAAGGCACAATTTCAAATGAGAGTTCTTCCAGCTCCTACGGACTAGTCTTCAGTCTGCATCCATCCCACCTACCCCACCCCAGCTCTTGCTGAGGGGAAGTGAATGTTGGCACTGCAGGGAGGAGGGGAGCAAGGGGCTCAGAGACCCGAGAAGGAAGGTAGGGACCATGGCTTCTTATTTCTTTATTGGACGCTTTGTAGATGTCACGCAGGTCTAAAAGTTACACTGTTAAATAATTATTTAAAAACAGACCAGGACTAAGGCCCTGGTCCAGAGCTCCAAACCAGAAGCAGAAAGGAATGGGGGCGGTGGTCTGGGGGTATTCCTCCAACATCACCAAAACCCAGAAAATGAGGATCCTAAGCTCCTTCATGGGCGAACTCTGGGCGTGGGCCCTTGCGCTAACCCTCGGGTGCCTCTGGCTGCATCACTATCAGGGTCAATAACCGGCAAGGGGCTGGTGGGAAGAGCCAGCCGAGTCCAGACATGGACAAAAGTAACTGGAAAGACAGGAAACGGACAGGTACTGTCCAGCTGTAGATAAGATCACAGAGTGCAGCTAAGGCAGGTGGGGATGGGGGAGGGGCTGGGAAGCAGTATTGCAGCAATGCAGGAGTCCGGCCCCAGGGGCCTGGCCTGGGCGAGGGCTCACACGTTGTGAGTCCTCTTGGTGAGCTGGGGCTCCTCGCCCACCAACTTGGACTTGAGGTGCTCCTTATAGGCCAGGATGTCTCCAGGCCACTTGGTGATTGTCTGCTTCTCACAGACCCAGATTTCTTGTGCAACCTAGAAAACAAATCCTAGACATAATAATCCTGGCCAGCACTCTCCCCATCCCTGCCCAGAAGACTGTTCTCAAGGAATTCCAGGAAGAAAACTCTACAAGCTCCTCCTGTCTCACCCTCCCAGCCCATCCCAACTCATATCCAGCTCATGGTTGGTTTCACTACCTTTTCGTTCTGCGGGATGGTCTAATGGCCTAACTCAAGGATATCATAACAGCAGGTTCAGAGCCTTCCAAGCAGGGATCTGTTACGTCATTCCTACTTCCAGTTCCCTGGTAGGGCCTACATCCGTTCAGAGGCTTTACTCTCAGCTTCCTTTCCTCTACCTCATCTTCACCAAAGCTTCAGAAAATGACCAGCAGCTTTTCCACCAATGACTGGTGGTAGCCTTCTGTCTAATCCAAATCCTCCTTAGTATAATACAATTTCTAGGCTGAAGAAATTAGTAAAAGCATCCCATACTCTACCCAACTCCCCCCCGATTTTGGTCAACAATGCCAAGTAGGCTAACATCCCCAAATAGCTAATGAAGAAATGAAGTATTTCTGTTGAGCCTTTCTAAGTTTCCCAAAGAGCCATAGGTCATCACCCTATGAGGCCCTGAGCCCTTTTACCAAATCCCATAAACATATTAAGTGCCTTCTGGGTGCCACAATTGTGTTCCACCCAACATTCTCCTAGATGCCCTCCACCAGGCCTCCCACCCCAGCTGGGAGCCTCACCTGCTGAATGAGTCTGAAATCATGGCTGACTAGCATCATACCACCCTCAAACTCATTGATGGCATCTGCCAGGGCGTCAATGGTCTCAATATCCAGGTGATTGGTGGGCTCATCCAGGAAGAGCATGTGGGGGTTCTGCCAGGCCAGCCAGGCCAGACACACTCGGCACTTCTGCCCATCAGACAGGTTCCGGATTGGGCTCACCTGAGCGGAACCATAACATTTATATAACTTGGTGTTATCCCCACTGTACACCACACAGAGAGATGGGAGAGACTCACCTCTCTCCCCAGCCTCCTCCGTTAATATTATTGCTATTTACAAGAAGTCGGGCTCAGGGAGACCCAAGATCACAGAGCAAGATGGTGGCATAGTCACCAGTCTCTCAAGGCCTGAGAGGGATACAAGTGGAAGCCTGAAGGCATTGCCATTACCAAGGCCATACCTCTTGCTCTCTCGCAGCACTTAAATCTTAATGAATTGGAGCAATCCAGTGGACCCTCGGTCCAGATTTGAATCCAGGAATCTGTTTTCTAGGTTTCAATTTCCCTTGCCCTCAAACATTATGGCTCATCCTGCTAGTCTGGTGGCAAGGGCACGTCAGAGACTGGCACGCTCTCCCTGCCCCTCCCTCATAAAAAGACCTAAATGCTCCAATACATAACAACCTAGGGTAAAGGAAAGATAGCGGTTCTCTTAGGGGCTAGAATTAACGGAGGAGACTTTGGGGATAGCTCCAAACCCGGATCACCAGGACAGTGTCCCCTGACCACCCAGCCAGTCTCCTAGTCATCTGAGGTTCTTTCCCACAACCCCCTCCACTGACCTGCTGTTTCCCAGTGAGACCGTATCGCCCAATGATCTTCCTCATTTCTTCCTTCTCCTTGATCTCTGGGTAGCACTTCATCATGTACTCCAAAGGCGAGAGGTCTAAGTCCAGCTGCTCTTGTAAATGCTACAGGAAAAAAGGAACCCACTCAGGTGGGACTGGTATCCCACTTCAAAAGGAACCCTGCTGGGTTACCTGCTGAGTAATTCTCTACCTCTACCCAGGTACCTGTTCAAGATCCCAAGAGAAACAGGTAGGAACTGACTTGGTCACATGCAGCCACCTTCCCACACCCTGGGTAAATCCCTCCACCCCAACTCCAGGCCTGTACCTGATGGTAACGCCCTATCTTGACATGAGAGTGTTTTCGGATCATCCCGTCTGTGGGTAGTAGCTAGAAAGAAACGAGTAGTAAGGGGAAAGCTAAGTATATAAGAAAGAAAACCCAGTCAGAAGCAGACATGGGCAGAGCAGGGAAACACACATATGTTAACACTGAACAAGATTCATCCAGCTTCCTGAACAGGATCTACATCACCACCTCACAGACTGCTACTCTGGCCACTTTAAAAATATTTAGGAAGGCAAAGATGTTCTCAAGGGAGGTAAAGATACATACAACACAATCTATTCAGTAGGTATTAAATGTCTATTACAGAATGCACTTTACTCAATAATAAAAGACTTGGAAAAAGGTACAACATACATTTTCTAAAATAAAAACATCTCTAAATGCACACAGGTTCATGTATTCTAAATGCTCTGATTGAAAACAGAAAACTATTGAGACACATGCATGTATTCTCTCTCTCTCACACTGACACACAGACCCCTCCCTCCTTCCCTTGCTCTCTCTGAGAAAACAGCCCCAAACATCAGCACTGCCCAGTGATGACACCCCCAACCCCAAAAGATGACTCACTCATCACCAGGGCACCCAGGCCCTCCAAGAGTAGTGGTTCCTGCATACGTCCCCTCTTCCTCAGACACAGCAAGCACCTACTCTTGAAAGACCCCTACCCCAACCTGGCACCATACCTCTCCAGTTAGCAGCTTCAGAAGAGTTGACTTCCCTGCTCCATTGGGCCCCACCAGAGCCACTCGTGTGTCAAGATCGATACCAAATTCTAGATTGTTGTAGATGCAAGGCTGAGGTGGGTGTGAGAGAGAGATGGATACAAGGCTAAGGCACTGATCAATCTGGCTGGCAGGACAACCCCACTAAGTCCCAATCACCACTGGAGGAGGTGGGAGTGTGGAGAAGGGACACTGCTCTCATGGCAGACCCCAACCCACTGCCTACAGCTGCTAACCCAGCTGAGCAGTTTTCCTTCCAAGTACTTTAAGAGGGCCACAGTGAGTCCCTGGATGAGGGACCTCAGCTGCCATGCCTGAAAAATCCCCCGTGCCACATGGGTTACAGGTGTTGTCGGCAAAGAACAGGAGACTCTCCCCTACCCAGTTGATGCTCACCTTGTAAAATGCACCCCAGCCTCCCAACCACACACAGGTACTCACCCCATCTTTTGTATACTTGAAGCTCACATTTTGTACCATAATGACGGGTGGGGGGATCTTGCCACATGGTGGAAAATAAAATGACAGTGTCTAGAAAGAGGAGAGGGCATTTATCAGGTTAGGTCCTTTCTTATCCACTTCACCTTAGGCCACCTAACTTCAGCCTATCAGACCCCACCTTGTCGCTCACGACCCTCTCTGTCAGTCCTGACGCCATCATTTTCTGTAGCGTCTTCTCTTTGCTCTGGGCTTGCCGGGCCAGCTTGGCACTGCCATGACCAAACCTAGCAATGTAGTTCTGAAAGAGACCAGAAAGGGGGCTTGGAGTATAAGCAGGCACCAAACAACTCAAATGCAGGGTAAAAACTGATGACAACTTCTTCCTGACCTCCTCCAGCACCCCTAAACTCCCCAAATACGCTCATCCACTTCTCCTGGAGAAGGTGAGCTCAGCTCTACAATTGCCCTACCTTCATGTGTGCAATCTGATCTTGCTCCCAGTGAAATCTCTTCATCTGGTTCTCCTCCAGCTCCAGCCGTGTCTTCACATACTGATCATAATTACCCTGCAGGAAAATGCGCCAGGTGAGGTGGGCAGCTTTAGCCTCAGCCCTGGGTTCTCTTTCAGGGTACAGGGGGATAAGGAATGGCATCTGACTTCGCCCTGGGTATAAGATTGTGCATTAGGGAAAGAGGAAGTGCATTGA